ATATTTTAAGTAATACAGTGATAAATACTGGCAATAGGGGCAGTGGGAGATGAAGTACTTTTCCCACAGACTTAGCTGTTGCTTTTGAAATACGAAGGAAGATCATACTCTGCCGTTGAGCACTAGAAGTGTCAGTTGCCTTGTGTGCCAAACGCAGCAGAGTTGCTTGCGCTCTTTGGGTGTGATTGCACCTGAATATAGTGTGTTTTCCCTGCTGAAACACAAATATGTCAAAGAAAACATTTCCAAAAACCCGAGTTTAGAGTCAAGCACAAATGAAGTGTCTGAGACTTGGGGAGAGGAGAATGAGTTTGAGAAGGTAGCATGATGCTGTTTCAGGGTTGTTGACGCACGACCCAGGTGTTTCTGTTGCACAACTCTGGTCTGAAGAGGACTTTCAAACCCTAGTCAGTACTTGCATTGGATGTGCTGATTAGAGCAGTCCTGATAACAGGCACAAATGGTTCTCAAAATCAGTAACTTACCGGGATAGTTGAGGGGAAACTTTAATAATAAATTCTAGCCCGTGAATAATTGTTTTATGTTTTCCTTAACATTGGGAATGCTAGTTATAGGGAGCTATCTGAGACAGGATATAGAGCCGTTTTCATAGATGTGTAACTGCTTGTACGTTACACGATGCTTGAAAAATTCTTTTATCAAATGCTACTTTCTGCTGCCCTGAACATTGTTTTTGCTTGATAGTGTCTTTGAGTGTGTTCAGAGTCTCAACGTTTCTACTGTAGTTCTGAGTCTGTTATCCTGTGATAAGCTACTCAGCTTTGACTTGTGCAGCTTTTTTGACTTCTAAAGCAGCTTCTTACTTGCAGAGTAAGAACTCCTTAGGCTCCCTGACATGCTGATGTTGAGATATGCTCCCTGCGTTCCTGTTTGGACTGATTTACAAGCTTCATTTTTGCTGAAGCATATTTCTAGATTGTTCTGTGGTGAATGGGACGATTTCTAATCGGTTGTAGGTGATAAGTAGAAGAATTTACTCTAGGGTTGAGGGGGAGCCTTGCTGAAAGGAGAAGATGGGTATTTCATTGAGAAACCCGTGAAACTTATTTCTAATTCTTAAAAGGCACACCTTCCACCTCTTGTTTCCGCTTAACTGCAGTAGTTTAGCCTTTCCCCTCTTGGGTCAGACAGGATTATTTGGAAATTCTTTGGGAAAGATTAGCGCTGTCATTGATTTCTTGCTGTTTATTCTATTAAACTTGGCAGTAGACTCATTCAGCTGTTTACTTTGTTGTGTTATCTGACTTGAAGACAAACCGCTGTTGCTTTTCAGGTTAAGGGTAACTGTTTCTTAGCCTTCTATGTCACTTGACAGCACTGCTGGCTGTTAGCGCTACTTCTGCTACTTTGATTACACGTGTAAGAGCGTTCGTAGCGCCCTGATGCTAGAATGTGCAGTTTCAAATGTGGTCCAGCTCTGTACGGTGGGGGTACTTGTCTAACTGCTCCTTTGATACGTTTAGTTTTCCTGCGTTAACCTTTAGTGGTTTGTAGTTTCTGGCTAGACAGAATTTGCAGGCTGAGTGTTATGGGAATAGTAGTAAGACTTAGCTTTCCTTGATAGGAGTGAGAGCTACCCTCGTGTCATTGGAGTAGGAGAGTGGCACACCAGGTCAGTTGATTTATTATCTCTTTCCCAATTGGCTATCCTCTGAGGAGGCTTTCCTCTTCAAATTGGCAAGGCGGTGTGCCTTTCTCAAAAGGTTGTCTTCACCTGTCAGTTACCCTGAGTGATGCGTTAGCTGTGTGCTGTGGTGCAGCTGCAATTACCTGAGCACGTGCAAAATGAGCTTGAGTGGATGCTGAAGAAAGTTTAGAGGTGCTAATTCAGAAGCTCCCCGTAGACTCATGTCATCAGTTGCTGTAGAGCTATCCCAGGACTTCCTTCTTCTAGAGAGTAAACCATAAAGAAGTTTCATGTGACTAAATTTGATGCAATTGTGCTATTTTCTGGCCAAACAGTAACATCACAGCTGCTGAATAGCCTTTCCTTTATAATGCTTTTATACCTTTATAAATGTGTTTATAAAGACAGAGGTCATTCTGCTGGACACTTGAATTGCAAAACAGATTTTGTAAGTAAGCTATACAAAATGTTTACTGCGTTAACTTAAACTAATGATATTAGAAATGGAATCTGAAGCTGGCTGTGTGAATTTGTCCCTGTTACTTGGCGAGGATGCATTTTCTAGGGCTGGACGTGGAACTTTATATGATGAGACACCTGCACAAGTCCAGTTGATTCTCTTTTCTTCTCCCCTGCAGTACGCTTGTCCATCCCTGTATAAAGCTCTGTTCCCCCTTTTCTACCACTTTGTTCGTGTCCAAGCATGTCCGACAGAAGTCAAAGTGAGTCCAACTTTCTTTCTCACGTGCTTTTCAGATGTTCTCCTCTGTTCAGTCTCCTGAGTCCATTGGTGACAGGTGAAACACTAACTCATCATTTTATGAAGGTCGTCTTGCCTCAAGCAAAGTGGTTCAAACATAAAGTCTGTGAAGGGATTTTCCTGCTTTCACTGTTTTCCCTAAGAACACAAGTGTCAGTAAATAGCAAGTTTTATCTTAAAAAATATACATATATATATATATATGTTTTTTTTTTGTGCACTATCAAGGTATGCAGATGCTGCATCCAAAGCAAGCGATCTTGCTGTGCTCGTCTAAGAAAGGACTTGTACCAGGCGTTTCTCTGGGAATGATACTTATGTTAGCAAACAAGTGATTAGAGGACAGGGAATTGATTCCTCCTCAGGGGGCTCTCCTTCCCCATCTCTGGCAAAAATTTAAGAGCCTAAAACACTGAAGTCGCTGATTTATTCACAAAAATGGCAGTCAGATGACAGGGTTCTCTGGAACCATCAGAATGAGTAAATTACTGGACGTTTTGCTTCATGTGTGCTATGAAAAATAAACCTTGTTTAGATCAGAATCATGATTTCTTACCTCCTTGGATCAATGCCATATAGATAGCAGTATTCACTGTGTATGCCCTAACAGTCCAAAAAACACCTAGGCCAAGGCGCACGGCAATATTAAAATACTAGCTTCGGTAGTTTAGATGCAGAGTAGTTGTGTGGTGTTGGAGTCTGTTAATAAGCATCTCTTAGCTTCAGAGTATTGGATGGTAATTGTGGGCTAGGCTGTAGCTAAGCAGAGACTTTAGGGTATATGACTGGCTTGTGGATGTGATGTTCTGAACCACTGTCCAGGTATTTGAGGGGGCCTTTGGCTAGACTACACTGTAGCCGTGGTTTTCTTCTTTAACGTAGTTATTCAGTGTACCTGCAAATAGTCCGACCCATAAGGTACCTTTATCAGTTGCACTACTTATGCTGTGAACTTTGTGTCCAGCTAGATTCAGATGGCTTGCTGTCCCTTCTTCCAAGAGGAAGGTAGAAAAGTACTGAAGGAGATTTTTATTTATGTGGGGAAAATGAATATAGTAACAACATTCCAAATCATATAGAAGTAGCTTTTGTTTGAGATCCTTAGTGTTCCACGTTTCTAATAAAACTTGGAAATAAAGTAAATCATTAATGATTGTGACTGAAGTCCTCTTTGCTAAGCAGCAAATGTAAGCAATTGTATTAATATATGCTTTTATATCTGTTATATGCTTTAATATATATCTATATTTAGAACACAACAAATATCAATTTCCTCCTCAGCTAATAGACCATTTTCCATCCTGCAAGAGTGACCTGAAGGTAGATAGGCTTAATTAATAGAATTTAAATAATAAAAGGTTTGAGACCTGGGAGTGTCTTTGAGGTCAAGAAGAGTGGGGAATTCTGGCATTCTGAGAAAACCATATTCAACCGGAACAAGGCTCCGGTTTAGATTGTTCAAATGTGCTAGACTGTTTTGCTAGCATTGTATTTTTCAGTTGAAAGCAAATTTAATGCTGTGTGGTAAAAGGTTTCAGATAAGTTGTTATATGGCAAAGGAGGTCTTTTTCTTTGACTTGCTTATTTTATTTCGATGTATTATGTTTTTGATATAAGTATGTTAAATAATGAAGTAATTGAAGTAATGAACCTAGCTATTCCTTAAGCAGTTAGTTCTACCTACAGTTTTTCTTGCATGGCAAGATAAAATTTAAGAAATGAACTTTAAAGGGAGAGATTATCTTATTGTCTTTTAATTCATTATAACTATACATTCAATTGAAGATCATATGTGAAAGTAGCTCTGTTAAAGGAATCTATTGAAGTACAAAGGAAATACCTGAGCTAAGTGAGGTTTTTGTGATGCTAGTACATGTTTGATTCCTAGGTATCCACGCACAGTATTTCCAGCAGAACAAAAAATGAACATCTCAAACTTTGGCATTTGGAAAGTCTAGGAACTGTTCAACTATGTAAATCCAGAGTACTGCACTTGCTATGAAGCAGGTAGTTGTCACATAGGATCCTGCAGCTTACTAGGAAGAGCATTTAAAATGCAAAGCTAAGAGACTGGAGGTTGTATTAGCTATTGTTTTAAGCAGTGAAGAACAATATTGTTATCAGAAGTACAAGCGATGTTCTCAACCTGCACTGTTTGTTAATGATACATCCTGTTAAAATTGAGCATTACTTTATGTAACTTAATTAGAAGTATTCCTAGAGCAGATTGATTCAGAAGCTTACTTTTCTGGATTCTTCATATTTTGACTGTAGGCTCTTACTATTTGTGGGCTGGTGGATGATTCACGCATTAAGCGCTAGTTGACACTGAAATTGCTTTTGCAAACTCAACAGCTGCTTTCCTGCCAAACCCAGTGAGCTGCTGTTCTGCCTCAAAGTGGACAGGGTAAAAAGTAGGGAGGAACTTCTTTCCTTCCAAGTCTTGATTTGTCCTTGAAGTTTTTTTGCTAATTTTTCTTTTCTCCTGTGTCCCTTATGTATCACTCATTCCTGTCTGCATTACTGTCCATCCCTGCCCCCAAGAGCATGGGAGTGGAGTATGTTGCCAGCACAGCACTTGCTCTGACCGCTGTCCTCGTGAATGTCAGCTTATTCACAGTGAAACAGCCCTCTTTTGCTACTTCATCAGGGACAGCTCGATGTCTCGTGCTCAATGCCTCTGCCTCATCACTCTGACACTCATCATCAATCTAGCAGCTGCTTAGCACTTCTTAAGAAGCAGTGGGATTTTGGAGGGTTTGTTTCACACTAGCAAAGTCTGGTTTCCTATCACGGTGTGAACTTAACATTGCAAAAGTCTAGTATAGGCTGCTGTTTATTTGGACGCCTTATTCTTTTTTTACTTAGAGTTGCTGAGGGTGATTTGTCTGCTCTTCGTTCTCAGAATCTGTCTTCCCTTTGGTACCCTCGCATCTTCCTCTCCCCCCCCCTTTTTTTTTCCTCTTGAATCATCTGTAATAGACAGGCCTTGAGTGTTTTCTTTTAAGTCTGCGATATTGTCTTCGTACTGTTTAGCAGTCTCATCTTTGCCCTGCATTCGTCTTCAAAACCGTTTTTTCCTCCAGCTTCTTTCATTCTTTTACTGCCTATTACTGCTTTGTTTGTTCTTAGCTCTAAAATCACCAAGCTTTTTTTTAATAGCTGTCAAACCAGGGAGTCTGCAAGCATACTGAAGATTTTGATCCTGTAGTATTTTTCAGTGGTAATGTTAGTTCGAACAGCTGTGGACTGTTATTACCTGCCTCTACTCTATGCAGTGCTAGAAATCAAGAAAGTATAAGCAGGTCTGTTCTTGAGAAAACAAGTGCTTAGGTAAAATGTAAATAAGTTTCAAATGTGAATTCAACTTGAAGAAAACATTGCAAATTGAAACTTCTGTATGGAAGAGCTTCAGTGATTTCTAGTGCTGCACTGGATTGCAGTGGATAAGGTTTTCCTTATGAATACATGTACTTTCATGAGTGGTATAAGCTTGACATAAAGGCTGAGGTGAGACAGTTTTGCATTGAAATAATCCTTTTTCTATGCTATTCATTCTTAAGCAATTTCTTTTCATGTCTATCTTTGGTTTTGAGTCTAGACTGTTTAAACAACAAGATAAAGTGTATGAATTTGAGTTTAAGTTGTGGTCACCTTTGGTGCTGGGGGAGGATATATTTCTCTTGTCAGGACAAAGTCCTAAACGCTTGCTGAGTGCCAGAGAAATTGTTTCCAGCGTGTTCCTACAGCTGCAGTGCCAACTACCTAAGTCCTGCTCGCAGAAGTCCGATTTTTCCTAAGAATGACTGTAATCCACTAGTGTGTGCTGTAGTTTTGTAGCAAAAAGTTTTACACTTTTACACTTTTTAAAAACCTCTTTGGGGAAAAGTTAGATAATAAGTCTTTCAGCTGGGTCTTTGTGCTGTATCAGCAGTTGAATGGATTAGCATGCTTGACTCTTACAGCTTATTTGTTTGAGATAAATTGAGTGGTTTGTCTTGCAGCTGCTTTTTCAGATTTTCTGCAAGACTGAGGTTGTTGCAAATGCAAGTGGTAGCATAAGAATAGTGTAGCTTTTTGCAGCGAGATTTGCTTCAGGTGTCTGTGCATTGTAACAAAGACCATTAGCAGACAAATAAAGAAAATGCTGTGAAAGAAATGTGAGCATCGCGGTATGAATCCAGATACCTGAACGCTGTCCAGTTAGCTCTTATTTCAGATGAAGGCATAATACTCAAGTTTCATTATCAGTGTAAGCTGAGCTACATCCATACTGCTAACAGAAGGGAAGATCCTGTCCTCCTCTAGCCTCCTGTTCTTACCGGGCTAAGTCAGTACTAGCACTTGTGCAGTGTGGTCAGTCGCATTAGTGCTTTGCGCACCGAGGCTGGAGGAAGTGAGCGTGTATGTGGGGGAAACAATGCTTTTGGGTTAAAACTGATCAGGAAGAAGTAACCTCAGCCTGTGTCGAGGTCTTGGCCCCCACGTTCCCCTCAAGTGTGGAAAGCACGATGACAAGTAAAGAGAAGTTCTCCTTGCAAGGATGGCTCACTCTGCCACCCTGTTTTTGGCAGTGTTTCCGAAACATCTGCAGCCAACGCAAGCTGCCTAAATGCTGCATTCAGTGCACGTGCAGCTGAGTGCCCTGGTACAGCGGGAATGAAGGCTGCATGGTATGCTGCGAGGGGAAGACTGAGTGTCATAGGCAGGATCAAATACACTAAGTCAGTTTTGTCTGAAGTTTGCAAAGTATTTGCTCTCTAGTGTGTGAACCCTGAGCAGTTGCCTTGAACAGTGTGACCAATATATTTGTTACAAGTTTTTCTTATTCTCTAAATAACAAGCGTCTCAATAGCTTTAGTTTGGGTGGTTTTGTCTTTTAGACACTAGTAGATGTTAACCTTCTTTTGATAGTGATGTTGAGGCTAGTATAGACTTACCCAAGTTTCCAAATTCAGCTGTTAACATTTTGTGACTACATCCTAAACCTGTGTTGTACATACTTATCTCTCTGCTTGGGATCTAAAATAAAAACTTATATGATACGAACTTAACTACTTGCCACTCTTAACAGGCTTTTTACAGGCTTCCTCTTCATTTGATGTGAAAGATTCAAGAGGTAATATCTGCATAATGGCTGATCTGACAGTGGCCTTCTCAGTGGAATACAACAGCAATGGGCAAAAAGAGGTGAGGGGAGTAGCTCACTGCTTACCTCTAACTTGTATTTAAAAATATGTGGTGGTATTGCAAGTGCGCAACTGAAATTGTGAACAAATATTTAAGCCTGAAAAACGGCTTCCATAAACAATCCTCCTTTTCAGTCAAGGTGCTTCAAGGAACTGATACTTCCTCTAATTAAGCAACAGGACTAAGACTGCCTGGAACCATCACAAATAATAAATGCGTGAAAGTTCTTTTGCAACTGAAATGCCTTGCAAGTGCCATTGGTAGTTGACGTGGCTTTTATTGGGACCGTGGAGGAAAAAAAAAAATGTTACCAGTCTCCTTTAGGTGAATTTGATCATTGCGATTACTTATGTGGACTAAACCTGAAATTAAATGGCTATTGGTAGGTAGCTTTTGAACTTCTCTGAAATCTGTGGCTCTCTTATGCGAGTCTCCACATAGTTCAATGTGTTTACAGAGCAGTATAACACATACAGATTGTTCAGCATTAACAGCAAAAGTCAATATAATAGCAAATTCTCTTAAGGAATAAGAATATGTAAGAATTTTTATTTCCAAATACTCTGCTTTTCAAGTTGTTAATTTTTTTGGTATCTCTACTACTGAATGGGAATCTTGGATTATTTATAATCTCATTGCAAGTGCATGTTGTAAGCCAATGTTGTTGAAATTGCTTTTTTTTTTTTTCAAGCCATTAGCGTAATGTGAGATTAGAGAGGAAAAAATCCTGTTGCTTTGCTACTGCTACATCTGTGACATGGGATTTCTTTGAGCTGGGAGCTATATTGCACAGTCCACTTCAGTGCTGATGGTCTCAAATCCTGCTGATACTGCTATACAAGTTTACATTCAGAGGTGTCTGCTTTTATAACGTGGCTTTGCCTATTCCTAGTAAACTATGAGCTCAAACTTTCCAGTAAACGTTGTGTTTGTCTTCAGATACTGAGTTACTGGTCAATATATAATGAACTTAAAGATCTATAGCCAAACTATGCAGACTGTACTGTGTGCTTCTGTTCTGCTTACTCAATCTTACCACAAGAAAAAAAAGATTAAATTCTCTCATTTTTCACCTGTATTCAGAGTTTGCCAGATTTGGTTCACGTAGTACAGATGCCCATGCAAATTCTTAGTGTTATTTTAAGGGAGCAAGGTCTAAGCCGTGCTGCAGGTAGGCACTGTTTTTTCCTCAAATTTCACAGGGAGCAAGGTCTTTAGAAATCTGAGCACCGGTATCATGCTATTTGTTGGGAGAGTGGATACATGTATATAAATAGACAGCTGACAGGCTATGTGATTGTTGGCTGTTTTATAGCAGCTGCATAGGCTATTTGAAAAGCAGTAAGGAAAGGCTCTTATATTATCCCATTTATATGTTTTGTTTTGTACCCCTCAGGTTGCAAACTTTTTTCTTCCACAAAATGCCACAGTACTGCAACGAAGCACATGTGGTAAACGTAACACATCTCAACCCATTCTGGCATTGGGTTTTGGAGCAGGACATTCGTTAAGCCTGAATTTCATGAAGAGTGCAAACCAGTACCAAGTTGAAGAGTTAATTTTCCACTACAATCTGTCAGATAAAACTTTATTCCATAATTCAACTGAAGGTAAAATGAAAACTTCCTGTTCTTTCCATTGTGTAACCCTTCCAGATGGAGTACTGGCTTGTTTCTGTAAATACTGTTTATGTTCTAATGCAATGTAATCTTCTTGCAGGAAAAGTGATGAAAGTATCTCATAAATCTGATATTCGGGCAGATATGGGCACGAAATACAGATGCGTCAGCTCCAAGCACTTCAATATGAAGAATGTGAACATCACTTTTAGCAATGTTACTTTGGAAGCCTATGTTGCAAATGGCACTATCAGTACAAATAGTAGGTATCTTGTGGCAAAAAATGTACTTGGTAAGCCAATATCACTTCCAAGGATATGTTATTTTTTTTAAAGTCCTGACTAATCCTATCTAGGTAGGTACAGACTGGATCTGAAGCTCTAATAGCTGTGCAGTGGTGTCTGTTGAAATTGTTAATGGAGTCGCTTCAGGTTTTTTCTGTAGGGGTGTCAGCATCCATGACTGGACGATACTGCGCCGTGTTCCTACGGGTTTTATACAGCATTATGGACCGTTCCTTCTGTTCATGAGTATTTATGGGTTTAAACATGTGCTGCAGTAGGTCGACTAGGCACAAGGCCAAAATCCTAGTTTGAGGTGGGTCCGGTCACTTAAAAGTACGCTTCTCCCACAGCAGTTTAAACTAGTTTCTCTGTGCTCTGGGGAGAGTTGGTAATATAATGGGGGACAATGGAGGAACTGGCCTGTAAGGAGTAGATGCATGCATCTTGGTACAGGAAGTTTTATAAAAGCTCTAAGAAATGATGTTCCTTCTCTATCAGCTTCAATCACAAAATGATTTTTATCCTGACAAAGCATCTCAGAATTTCACTGCTATAATGCTAAGACGACAGACTATTTCCACGAGTGAGTTCGTGCTATTTGCTTTTGTGGCAACATTGTTCGGTTTATTTGGCTCTTCCTCCTGCTTGCTTACCCATAGAACTCCAGGCAGTAGTTAGTCTTTGCCTTAATTTTGTTGGGCTGAATAAGAAGTCTTCCATCTTCTGAGGGAGATGTTGAACTTTATGATCTTATCCATGCATATGCTGAATTGAAGTCAGTCCTATGACTAATAGATCAGTGGTGATGTATGATTCATTGAAAAAAATGCCTTCTGCAGTGGTATCTCTACTTTGTCCCATCTCTCGAAGAAATACCTTGTGTGATGCATCATAAACCTGGAGTTGGCTTTTTATGGTGCCTCACGCTACTGGCTCAGATTTCTATGTGAATTTTTTGGTCAGTCTTTTCCATTCAGTGTACTACAATGTACAGAAAAATGTAGACCCTAATTTACCATTAAAAAAAAATCTGGTTTCTATTACTCAGTCCTCAAAATATTCCCTTTTTCTTTGTCTTAATTCAACTCCATTATCAGCAAGCTTCAACGTAAACCTTAATCTTGTATCGAGACCATTCGTGGGGAAAAAATGGTTTTTAACCTCCAAAATTTCACTGAAATCTCCTTACTATCTAGTACTTTTCCTTTCAATGCCACTTATTACCTGGTCTTGCACGTTCTTTTGGTTAAAAAAAAAAAATCAGTTTTGCATTGTTGTGGGAGGGTGTTAACTTCTGTTATCTTACGCAACAAAAGTTCGTCAGCATTTGTCTAACTTTCTGTTCCCACTTCCTTCATTCTCTTCATTTTCATCTAGAATGTCTTACGTTCCCAGGGTCACTTCCTCACGGTGGCTTTTCTTCCTATGGTATTGCTGTATCTTGATGAAACTATGAAAACCCTCAACAAAAGACACGACTTCATATGATCCTGGGATGGATGCTGTTTGGTCTAAGTTCAAGGCCTTTGCTTTGTTTTCATTTCCACATTTCTGTTGTCCATACTGCCATGCTGTTTTTTCTATTAACATCTTCCTTTGATTTTTATTATTATCTTTTATTTTATTATCATCTTGGGACTGCACCCGCCTTTTTAATCCTACTGCACAATGAGCTATCTACTTTTTTTTTTCTTACTCTTTTTCTTCAAGTAGCTTAAGAATCTTTGCTTTATCCTTTTTGTGTCTTTTATCCTCGTACTTCTTGACAGCAGCATTCTTCCCAGAACAGTGCCTTCTTTCCGCTCTTCTCGTAGGCTTTAGACTTACTCTTCCCTTTTGGCAGGGACTGATAAACTTTAGATCTGGAATTCTCCCTTAACTTCTTTTTCTGTGCAGCTCCTTCATTAGAGTATATTTCTGCTGGTGAGCTGGCCAGTGCTCATTGAAGACAAGAACAGTCATCTGTGCATCAGTGCATCTGTGCATCACGGGTAATGGTAACTTCTGATGGTGTAACCAGAAGTTAGTGAATGAGGTTTTTATTGTAGTGATTATCTGCAGCTCTGCAGAAAAGGAGACTGCGGTTTTATCTGTTGGTAATGTCAGCTGCTTTCCTTAACTGTCAGAAAAAGACCTAAGAATAATTCATCTTGTCTCCAGATCTGTACTGAAGAGTTACTAGGAGCTATGTTGTAAATTAGTTCAGTAAAAATACTGTATCGAGACTCCACCTAGGACGAACTTCCACTTTAAGTGAGATTGGTCTTTTTCCATCTCTGCCAACTTTAGTAACAGGCTCTGTATGTTGAGCCCTTATAGATGAAGGAGAATTCTGCTCTGAAGTACCAAGTAATGTGGCTGACTGATTTATTTGTTAGGAAATTATCACTTTGAGGCCTAACTGGTGTCTATTTAAAGTCCACAAAAGAAGGGGCCACTCTCCCTTCCCTCTCCCTTCCGTCCCGTCATCATTCATATCCCTTGCTTCTGCTCCTCCACCTTCCAGGAATGGAGATGAAATAGGAAAGTGTGCTATGTTGGAGTCTATATGTGTTCAGAAGGTGTTATTGCCCTGCCTTTAAAGTAGAATTCCTCTTTCTGACTCTTAGTCTAAAGCTAAGTTGCTGTTTTTGAGTACAGAGACTATACATCATATGTGAAGTATCTGCAAGGAGTGTTTTGCTTTAAATCTTAGCAGTAAGCTCTTTCAGTCTGAGCCGAAACAGTTTATAGTGCTGCTGCAGTTCCTGTCATCCTTATAATGCTGTAAGATGTTATCCCTGAAACAGGGTTGTGACCTTGACTAGGAACTTGGAAGCTTGTACTATAGTAATGTCTTTGCTGTGTCCTTTGATTTTTGGCTTGGGCATTCAATGCAGGCGCCTTCTCAGGTCCCAGAATGAGTTAAGGTCTTGCTGCTGGGCGTTCTGACTATTTCGGCAAGTTAAGTCAAAGCCACTGTTGTTCCTCTCCTACTGCCTTGGAAGCTGGTGCTGCAGTGGCTGAAAAGAGAAGGCAGTCTGAATCTTCACTAAAATCTTCACTTTTAATGTCAGATGGTTAGTATGGAAGAGGGCTACTAATGCAGGACTGCAAGGAGAATGGACGTGAGACTCCAAAGGAAAGGGTATTTTTGGAACACTTGCCAGCAAAAGGAGTGTCTTAGGATAACATTGTTAAGGATGGAAGAGCCATAGCACTGCTATGAGGACTTGAGAAGGTCCAGTAGTATTTTAATATTCCTTCAGGTGTTGCCAAAGTAATGAAAATAGGATCACTGCAAACTGGAAGGGTACTGGGTGGAAGGGGAGGGAACTAGAACAGCACATCTCCTGAGGGACTGCTTTTCATAGTGGGCCCAAGAACTGTCCTTCTACTTCTAGCACACAAGCACCCAGAAGTTGTAAGGGGTAGTCATTTGAGCCTTGCCGTGGACCTAGAGCAGGAAGGCTGTGGCTCTGACAGCGTAGCAGTATTATGCTTGTTCTGATTTCTTGGAGAAATAAAATGGCAGCAACTGAAAAGCAGATCTGGTCTGCATGAATTTCTGTAAATAACAGCAGAAGTGTCATTTTCTTAAGTTAGATTTTTAAGAGTTTCCTATAGGAAAAAAAAACAGTTTAACAAGATCTTAGCTAATGCTTTACAATTGTGTTTCTTAGTATTTTCTATTAGAAGCTACTTAAAATTGCATCCTCCTTCCCCTTCAGGGTTTAAAAAAAAAGGTAGATTATTGTGTAATTCCATTTTGTTTGGTGATTGTATTCCTTTCTCCCCAGAAACAGAATGTGCTGAAGACATGGTCTCCACTACTGTAATGACTACAACTCCTAGACAGACTACTAGCCAGGTTCCAACAACTAGTCCAGCACCAACTGCGTTGCCACAAAATCCTGCTGTTGGTAAATACAACGTGACTGGTGCAAATGGAACCTGTGTGCTTGCCTCCATGGGGCTGCAGCTTAATGTCACCTATCTAAAGAAAGATGAAAAGGTATATTTTTTTTCTTTCTTTGAAACCTTCACATTTCTTCTTTGGGGAAAGCTTGCTAAATTATTGCAGACAAACTTCAATAAAATCCTGAATCTTCATAGTGTTCATCCGTTGTGCTCTATTTAAATTGTTTCACTTGGATTAGGTTAGTGAATATTCAGACACAGTTCTGTTGCGCTGCAAGTTGTTGTTAAAGTTGTTTTTATTCAGTAAGAGTACTAAACTTGCCTATTGAACGCAGTAAATATATTTGACTATTCAAGAAGCAGTAGAACTCTCAAAATATGAGTAGTGGCGATTCTGTATCAGATGCCATCCACACGGGCTTTAAATTGTTACCTCAGTACCAATTCCTGTATTTAAGTATGTGCTTGAAAACAAAAATGTAGCCCCAGTGTAGGTTGTTTCCAGGCTTTCTATTATATGGACCTTTGGATGCAAGCTTTTCTCCTATTCTGGGGCTTGACCTGAGGTCAGCAGGACAACTGCAGGTGAATGCAACTATGGCTTCTTTTCTGTAGTTTATGCAGGGTCTGGTTATAATGGACCGGATGTGAGGAGGGTAGATCTGAGGAGGATTTAATTGCTTAATGCTGTGCTCTAGTGAGAGGCATGTGTGGCACTGGTGTGTGCATATCGTGATGACTGAGGTCAAATGAGCACTGATTACTAAGGTCTGGCTGTACACTAGCTGGCTATGATGGGAAATGTGTAATAGCCTCCTTAATTGTGCGAAGTACCCTAAGCGGCTTCCTGCAGCATGACACGCTAGCACTGCTGGAACAGCTGATTTTAACCTAATGACCAGTGAGGTGGGTGGTAAATAGTTTTTCCTAAGTCCCATGAGGGTCAGTTAACCTCTTAAGACCTGCCGGTGTTTTCTGGGTGATTGTTCTGCAAGTACCTTTAACCCATGACACTATGCAGACACAGTGCAGTATGAAATTATGTACCGTAGGTAAAGCTAAAGCGTATTAAACTGAAGTGGCTTGCATGATGATCCTGATTACAGGCATTTTTCATGATTGCTTCTCCACTATGCTGAAGCAGGATTTTATAGCTTGTTGTACCCTCGGCAGTGGTGGTTACTGGTGTCTTCCTTATGTTTCTAGGAACAGCCAGTGTGGTGTGGGTAGAGTAGCCAGTTATTGGCTGCAGCGGGCTGGGGCTGAGGAAGGCTTGGTTATGCATGCCAAGATGGTCTCTGTTCCCTGTGCCATCCTGGTCCTCTGGTGCAGCTCACACCAACCTATAACCCTGTGCCTGTATCTGCCCACTTGTCTGAAATGGGTGGGCAAATACAGCGTTGTATGCATGTGAGTACAAGTAAAATAAAGCTGACTGATCATGCAGTGGTATATTAGTCTTTTGAAGGACAGCCAATGTCATAATTGATTCTCTTCTCTCATAGATTGGATTAGATGTGTTGAATTTCATACCGCATAATACAACTTCTTCTGGGATGTGCAGCAATATTTCTGCCTTCTTGAATTTGACTTTTGAGAAAACAAAACTTATCTTCCACTTTGCATTGGTAAGAATCTCTAGACAAAGCACGTAGGATCTGCAGTACTTCTGATGTGGGGAAGTTAATCGGGGCGAGTCCAAGAGCAAGAGATGCAGCTACAGAGGAGGGGAGAATAATT